TTCATATGTTTAGCTCAGTGTTTTAGTTTTTAAATGTTTAATGCTGTACTTGTAGTTACCTTTCTGATGAGTTTTGGGTTGCAGATTCTGCTGGCGATTCTGTAATCCGTTTCAGTACGGATTAGTTATAATGTTTTTCTATCCTGTCTCTGTTAATTTGCTAGTCTGTGCTCAATACCATATGGAGCAGCCAGAACAATGGAATTATGTTCCATACTTCTCCAAGACTGAACCTGTGTTTATATTGCACATTTTAAATCTCTTTATCTTTAAAGCAGGAGACCATAATGCCCTCCCAAAGCTTCTTCATGGCACAAACTGTAAACCTGCTTCACTGCCATTTTTAGTTTGCAAGTTGTTCTTAGAATTGTTGTATGCCTTTTAAGATTATTGCTTATTTCTAATGTTTATTTTTTGCCATGTTTCTCTTTCCTTTCATTTTCTGCCCTTCAGACACAACATTAAGTGAGAAGATGCCTTGGCAAATTAAGGCCTCGTTCACACCATCCTGAGTACGTTGCGGCCTGATTTGTGGCCGGAACGCACTGGATCGCATTGAGGCCCACTCAGTTTTTTTATGGGGCGGGAGGGGGCGTGTCGCTGCATTGAAGTGAATGGCACCTCTGGCCGCAATGCGATCGGCCACACGGGAACGCCAGCTACATCAATGCCTGCGGTCCGGTCAGAAAAAATGCTGCAAGCACTATTTTTTCTGACCGGACGCAGGCATTGATGTGCCTTGCGTGCTCATGCGGTGCCGTTCACTTCAATGAACCGCCACGCCCCCTCCTAGCCACAATTGGGCCAGAACGCACTGAGGATGGTGTGAACAAGGCCTGACGGAAATGCTATTTTTAAATAGTTGTCACTGAAACAGTGTCCCCCATTGGATGATTTCCTCTCTGTTCCCATACTGGTGAATTTTAGATTTTCCCACACTTTTGGCTCCAGTAATAGTGGTCAACAGGACAAATAGTATGGGTAAATCTCCCTAGCTGGGACACAGATGGCAATAAAAACATGGCAAAAGTTCTGATCCCTCAATAGTATGTGTGTGTGTATGTGTGTGTGTATATATATATATACACCCCAGCAGTAATTGATCTCCTACGGCGAAGTCCAGCACAGCAGTTGCATGGTATTCGGTGGCTATATTTGAAGTGACATGTTATCTGTGCCATTTTTCCTAATCCAAATTTTAAATCTTAATAGCCTGCATTAATCTGCAATGGCCCAGGGCAGAGAAAGCGTGTTTCCCAAATTTGTTATACATTTTTTAGGCCTTTTTTTATTTTCACCACTTTTTAACTATTGTGTTTCTTAAGTATCTGGTCTGCCAAGAAATGTGGCTCAGATTGTTACAATACAATTAGCAGGAGCAGATGGCCTTCAATCCACTTGGAAAGCTTTCAGCCTGTTTCCCGAAGTTTGAAGGCCATAGGTTTGGCTTGTTTGTTTAAACCTATATTCCATCTGTTTGAGAGAGCAGAAACTTCCCTAACACACTTCTGTAAATTTAGAACTTTATTTAAAACCTATAGGGAATACAATGGTTTATTCTAGTTTATTCACAAACATTAATTATTTTGGGACCCAATAATTTCCATGGATGCATTCTACACCTGTTATGAAATCCATGTACTATTACAGTTGATCAGCGTGCACCTTTTCCTAGTTATCTGCTACATGTAGTTATCTGTTAAATGCTCAGCTGGACTTTGATCCCTAGAAAAACAAAACAAAGGTTAAATAGGAATCTGTGCGGGACCAAATGCAATGTTCTGTAGTACAAATAAGTCCGCAGTACTTATCAGTTTTAAACGGCAAATCCAGGAAACCATTTGTGATACTTAGAAAAGTAAATTTTGTACATATGCATCTTATATATACATAATTCTATGTATTGTAGAAAGCAGGAATAGGAAGGCAATTGACCTCCTAGCTTTTGTGTGTTTTTAGAACTCCTCTTACACTTATTTTACAGCAACTGGGATGTTTTCTGTAGCTCTTGGCATTGTGGTAGTTTACTGTATTTTTTCACTTGTATTTTTTAAACTGTAATATCTTAAATATCTTATATCTTTTAACTTGTTACTTAGGGTAGAACATTTTGTTTGCTTTTTATTGCTGTCAACCCTGTCACCAGGGCAGGAAAGAAATGGAAAATCTCTGTAACTAAAACACAAGTTCTCCAGTTCTGATCCACTGCCACCTACAGAAATGTTACCTCTTCGGCGGCATCCCCGGCAGTCCTTTTTTTTTGTTTACTGATAAGAAAGGTAAATTCCCTCCTTAGGTCCCAGTTTGAGTTAACTGGTTTGGTACTCCATACTGTGTTGGTGGTAACTCTGATCTGTGAAACCATGTCAGAATGAATTAAATGTCTTTTAAAAGAATCCTTCCACCTCTGGGGAGGCTTATGGAACAGTTGGAGCAGAGGTCTGGAGCCTTGTGCTTCAACTGTAATGGTTTACTACTAGCCTTCATGTCTCCCTTTATTCCATTGGCCTTTATTCCATTTTAAGGCCAGCCAGGTAAATGTGACAAAAGGAGTCTATAGCCACCTGCTGGCCCGTAATGTAAATATGTACCTGAAAAAAAAATGTAGGCCTTAACATCATAAAGTATATAGACTACACAACACATTACTGTAAAAATGTTCTTCAAGACGAGATATAATTGTGTAACAGTGTAGAATAAAATAGAACACACAGTACTCATTTGCAGGAGCCCACATTTATGCCGTGTGAGAAAATTGGCTTCCTTACATGTATGATGCAATAAATAATTGCATCATCATCATAGCCATGACTAGAATAAAAGCAGTGTATACACATCTTAAAAGCCCAGTATTTACTCTTGTGAGCATTCCTTGTCTTTAGATGTGGCACTGATGCCATCATTTTAATAGTGGTGTTATATGTACAGAATGAGCAGCTTGTCTCACCAGCATTTCCTCAAATTGCAGGCTAAACCTGTAAAAGGAATGCTCATGTTAGCAGATTTTGTACATTCATGTGCAACTTGCAGAAATACATCCCCTGCAAACCTTTCTCCTCTATAGCTCTTTAGTGCATCTTGATCCGTGGCAGCTGCTTTTTTCCTCCTCCAGGGGATTTAGTGCTGAAAAGCAATAATTATGTGGAGTCCAATCAATTGTAAAACTTATGGATGTCATTTAGTTATTTTTAACTATGTACAGGCAGAATGAGCCTGATGTTCATGGTGGCTACACATACTGTATGTAGAATGATTCATGTGTTGTTTCAGTCGGCCCTCTTGTTATTTAATAAAAGAAATGAACAACAGTAGTTAGATAAAGATATGCTGAGTGTTTTAGGTCTCTGATTCTTCTGTTTATAACACTGTGTGTAAGCTTGATGCTTTAAATATATTTGGCTTGCATATACCCTAAAAGGCAAAGCAACCTGATCTGTATGGTTGTTTTACACTTAAGCTGTGCTGCCCCGCATATTAAATCCACAGGTTTCATTTTTGTCTGTATGAATCATGTATGCATGTGTTTTATTTATACATCTGATGTGTGTGTATATAATTTCTTTATATAATCTCCTTTTTATCTATTCGTAGTGGTCATAAAAGCATACTGCACACTGTTCATTAGTGTGTGAGGTATATATGTTTTTACTTTAATATTTCTTGTTAGGCACTCCGTTGTTCTTCTCAATTTGTATTACCTTAGTAGAGTTTCCAGTTCATAAAAACATATTTTGCTTTATTTATTTGGTGTGTGTGTGTGTGTGTGTGTGTGTGTGTGTGTGTGTGTGTGGTTAAAAAAAATAAAAAGTGTGTTTTTTATATATATGTATATTCGGGCTGCAACTAACCGTTATTTTAATAATCGATTAGTTGGCAGGTCAACTAATCGGATAAAAAAAAATACCGTCCTTTATTTAAAGCACACAAGTGGAGTTTTACAAACCAAAATGTATTTCAAAATAAAACTGCGTGCACGCTCTTTTGTAATCGCACCACACTGGATTGCACGGCATTGCAGTACCACACGTTCCAGTGTGGGCAATCACACTGCAGGTTGGGAGTGCGTTTGATGTGCCATTGAAATGAATGGCACTGCATTGCACAATTCCGCAGCAGAATTTCTCTGGCCAAAACCAAAAATTCTTTCTTTCCCAACATTTTCTTTAAAATTTTTTCTGTATTATTTTAGACATTTTAATTAGTTTCATTGATTTTAAATCTGAATTGAAAAAATCTGAGCCAATATAATAAAATAACCAACCTTTTATTTCAAATAACACCAAAATGTAGACAATCGTTGTTTTTTTTAAATCTGTAGGTGTACTCTGCTTGTGTTTCTGTTAGTGTGTGCATGGTCGCAGAGGACTTTTAATCTTCTTTTTTTGGGTATTTTTAATTTCACTTTAACTTTTTCTTTCAAGCCCCCTATGTGATGGCACACTGGAGGTGACAGGTTCTCTTTAAGGTGATATTAGGGGTCTTTTAGACCCCTAGTGTCACCTTTCCACTTAACTGGGGAATGACAGCTGCCTACTGAGGCAGCTGAATGTAAATGCAGCATGCAGTGGCTTGAATCAATAGCCAGCCTGCTATTGGCTATTATACCCGCCTGCTGTCAACTAGCAGAGGCGGGCCCATAGGAGAAAGTTCTCCTTCAGGTCCTCCTCTGCTAATTGACAGCAGGCTGTGGGCAGGTGCAATAGCAAACCTGGCTTTTGCAATTCAAAATAGCTAATAGCAGGCTGGCTATTTCTCCCAGCCGCTAGTTGGGGAATATGACGCCAGCTTTCTACCACTGGCAGAAGAGGGGTTGCAAGAGACGCAGCACAAGTACGGGGGAGTGACAGAGGCATCTGTTTGTTTTTATTATGCATGCACTTCTTGCATAATAAAGCATTATAAATACCACTAAGAACACTGATGTTTTGTGGGCTTTTATGGTTGTTTTTGGTTTTAATTGTTTCAGAAAAATGATGTAGATTTGTTTTTTTTGTTTTTAGATCTCATCCCTGCAGTGATTCTTTCACTACGATTCACAGAAGTGGGTCCAGCACATGTATTGAAATGGATAGATCATTTACGCATTCATCTGTTCAAGGTTAGTTTCTCTTAGATTTGTTTTTGTTCACAAATCTGCATACAAATGTATTAAATAAATAATATGGGTTGCCTGTAGCAACAAGCCAAACTCTTAACTGCCATAATTATAGTCCATGTGCAGTATGTGTTTTATGTACATCTAAGATGTAATTAACTTTGTATTTTTTAATATTGCATTGGGTGTTGAAGGTTATTAGCCTTCCCAGTCCTCTGTGGACTACAGAATATCTCTGCCTGTGTTGTGGAGATGAGAGGGAGGTGTTTGTAGTCCAAGGCAGGAGAGCAGTCTAAGGTGACACACTTCTTAATGGATATAGTACAGTGCATGAGCATTGTCATCCTAGGATAGGAAATATGTTGCTGGCAGTATTCGGCAGGTGAAAATAAAGGGAAAGAAGGCCTGAACAAAGAAAACTAATGCAGTCCACACATATAATGGTAGACTGCAATACATTCTGTTTTTGACTTGGGCTCAGATACACTTTAAGGATTCAAATAAATCAAATCAGTCAACTGCAGGTAGAACAGATTATTTTTTTTAAAAACCTTTGTTTATTGGTTCGGTCTGTCAGACCCGAAGCAGACCTAAGCGATCCGGGATCACGCGGTCCTGCACAATGCAGGCTGCGATTGCCACACAGCCCCATCGATTTCAATGGGGTGACATCCGTGCGGCAATCGCAGAAAAAACGTACATGTTTTTTTTTTTGCGATACACAACGCTGTTTTAATGGCACCCACAGCGCGATGGGTGCACACCTATCTGACTCCTGGCCCGCGCGGCAATCGTGTACAATTCCGCGCGGGCCAGGATTTGGCTAGGCGTGCACCGATCACGCTGTGGGTGCCATTAAAACAGCGTTGTGTATCTGAGGTGTCGCTTAGGTGTGCACCGGCCCTCAATGTTGATGGACCGTGAGCTACTGTTCATAAGAAGGTGAAGTTTCATTTTTTTTTTTTTTGGTTTTAGACCTTTTTAGAACTTCTGTCTTCTCCAAGGCTTCACATGATTTTCCCCATTTAGACTGGGCATGGAAGTTATGTAAAAAGTTATCATAAAAAAGACACGGGTTTAAACTTGAGCGTGTTGCGTTATGATAATAATCATTAACCACCTCCGGGCCGGCCGTAGTAAAAAAACGGCCACCCCGAGCTCTCTAGATCTGAGTGGGCGTCTTTAGACGTCCGCTCAGAGACGGCCCCTCGCGCGCGGGAAACGGCTGAAATGTAAATAGCTCCCCCCCCCCCCCCAAATTTAAAGTTACACCATAAAAAAGAATAAAAAAACAAAATTTTTTTTAAAAGTCCCCACCCATACATGCATGCATGCAAACATGCGTCGGGGGCGCATACATGCAAAAAAGACGATTGGGTAAATAAAAATGAATATCCTCTATTTCCCATGTGCAGCGGGTGTCATTCTAAGCAAGTCATATATATTAGTTGAAGCATATTGTAGCAGTTGCTGTTAGAACAAAACCTGCATCTGTCACAGGTGAGGGCCATACTCCTTCCCCTTCTGTGATCAGATATAATGACGTCTTGTGTATTAGCACAGTTTTCCGAATAACATACAGGCAGTGCTGTTATTGCTCATTAGGAAACCAACGTATTTTGCAATAAAGGTTCTACATAGGGGTGCACCGATACCGTTTTTTTGGTATTGAGTACGAATACCAAAATAGTTTTTTTTTCTTTACTCACCGATACTCGATACTGGAAGTCCCATCAAGGAAGTCGGCGGCGCCCGATAATTCACCGCCTGCTTTCTGATAAGCCGGGAAGCCGTCTCCATGCTCCCTCGTCACCGGGTGATAAGGAAGCATGGATCCGGCTTTTTGGCCAATCAGGAAGCCAGGGGGCGGGTAATGATCCACTGCCCGGCTCCTTGATTGGTCGGGAAGCCGGCTCTATGCTCCCTTGTCACCAAGTGACGAGGAAGCATGGAGCAGGCTTTCAGGCCATTCAGGAAGGCGGACGGTAATGACTCTTATTGCCCCGGCTTCTTGATTGGCCGGGAAGCTGCCAAACAAGGAGCTGGGGGGCGAGTCATTACCCGCCCCCCAGCTTCCTGATGAGCTGGGAAGCCAGCTCCATGCTCCCTGGTGCTGAGGTAGCATGGAGCTGGCTTCCCGGCCTACTGGACAGCCGTGCAGTGTGTACGTTCTGGTATCGGAATATGCATTAGGAGCATTCGGTGCATCCCTAGTCTTATACATATAATTGTAAATATTCAAAAACAGTTTATACATGTGTAGTGTTCTAACCATATCAATATACTGTATAATGGTTTCCTTTTAAAGAAGAACAGTTCTGAATTTTCAAAGTTATCACTTTACGATATTACACTATTATGTTTAGTTGTGTGGTATTATACAGGAGTGTTATATTTGATCTGTATTGCTACTATATATTTTATGTACATAACAGTGGACACAAAGTATTCTTTTTCAGTATGTTAGGTGTTGCAGTCAGCATTTGCAGTAAATAACTGCAGTAAGAATTTAGAATTTTGGGGAGATGTATGTATTGTATTCCTGAAAGTATGTAATGTGAGCTAGAAAGGGTTCGCACAGCTTTCAGCCAAATGTTATTTGCAGAGCTGTCCACAGAATTTCACTAGGAGTGGCATTAGACTCAACTTTTGTACTGTGCGTCTAAACCATAAACAGGAACTAGGAACTCCAATCTGTGTTTTGCACTTCTAACAAGAGCCTAGAAAATTCACAAATGCTCACAAACGGGGTCTTTCACAAACGTTAGCCAGTAGAAAATCAAAACAATGGGGAAAATTGCAAAAATGGTGTGGCCAGCTGAGGTTAAAAATGTTCTGAAGGGTTAAAAGAGAACTATGGCCAAACCCTTTTTTTGGGGGGATGAGGGGAGTGTCTTTTACTAATGTACTCCTGTGACTCAGTCAGCATATAATCAGGAGATTGTTCCCATTTTTCTGTAGAATGTATGCATAAGGTGGCTGTAGAACTTTTATAATGCACGTGTGACAAAACCATTGTCTACTGTGCAGTATAAAAGTTTGTTGATTTTTGTTACTTCAGGCCAATTTTTTTTTTTTTTTTTTAAATCCACTCTTGTGGATTTTATAAACTGGTAATGAGAAAGTTTGCATAGCTCACAATCAGGCTCTGGTATTCACATAGCACATTTTTTAACAATGTGCAAATGTAACCCTACTATTTTTTTCTTTTAAGTCCAATGTGTAAAATCTAAAGTCTGATGGATTGGCAACAGTGATTGCACTATGGCTTTTTAGATGAGGCTTATTTGTGTTTTGTACACTGTTGCAATCAATGTAGGTAATTAAGATGGAAGCAGCATTAAAATGTTTTATCTGGTATACTAGCAGCTGTTGGGTCTTAGGGATATAATCACATTAATGCTCACATTAAGAGGGCATGCTACTATACACTCTGATTAGAGGGGGTTTAGGGAAGGCTGACATGTTGGTATTTACCTACCTGCCCGCAACTATTCACTAACAATCATTATTGTCTGTATGAAGACATTTAAACAAAAAACAAGTGCCAACATATTGTATGTAAATAGTTTGTATATATGTGTTTTACATGAACAAAAAGCTAAGCATTGTAAGTACCCCTATCCTTTATTAAATGGTTTGTCTCAACTTTCTAACTACCTCTTTCACTGGACAGGTCAGTCTGTTAAAGGAAGTTGAAGACTAATAGACTTACTGCCCAAAAAAGGAAACTATACAGCCACCAAATCAAAGGACTGTTACGTATACATTTGTATTTTTGCGTTTCGGTTTAAATACGGTTTAACATCCCTAAACAGGCAGCTTAACAATAATGGTGCCTATTGGCACAGGCCTACTAGTCTTGGTTTAAATGTATCTAAACCTAAAATATATGTATGTGTGTATAGAAAGAGAGATATTTACAGTGATGGATGGCTAAGAGGGGATCCTAAACTTTTACTCGTGTCTCAGGCCTGGTTCACACCTGTACGTTTTGTAGCGCGTTCAACGCTCTACGAACACTCTACAAAACGCTCAAACATGAAAATCCCATTGTTTTCTATGGGTATGGTTCACACCTTGCCGTATTTCAGCCCGTCTGAACGCGCCACAAGACGGCCTACGCCTGAAACGGTACATGAGCTTCTTTGCAGCGTTTTTGTTGCGCGTTTCCATTGGGATACAGCCAAGTAGCCCTCGGAAACGCGCATTTATTGCGTTTCTTTTTTACCGCGAATCGCTGTAAAAACGCGCGTCACGAAACGCGCATATTCGATACGCCTAGGTGTGAACAGAGCCTTAAGGTCAAGCAGCATCAGTGGAGAGGCGATGTGGAGGGGATGCCAGGTAGTTCAATCTTGAGTAACACTGACCTCTAACCTCTACATAGAGACCTATGGCAAGGACTGGAAACAAATCAGAGAGAGAGATTGCAGCATACCAGTCCTTTTAGATTTTTAGATGTAGTAGCTGCTACAGCTAAATCCACATATAAGGGCTGGTAAGTAACGTATTAGAATTTTATTGGGTGTAGATATTCTTTAAGCTGGTATTCGTTCAAGGTGCTCTCTAATCAAAGCTGGAAAATTTGTTTTTAAATGCATTTAGGGGACAAAGCCTACTTGCCCTGGACATAACTTTTTCATCCATGCAGAGCTGTTGTGTAAAGAAAAAATGTTCCCAGCTATAAATAGATTCAAACCTATCTATGGACTTTTGGCTGGGACTGTGATTCGGGAAGCATTGTATTACAATTCCAGTGACCCAAGACTTTTAGAACATTACACTTCCAATAACCCTGTGAGGGTCTCTTGTTGGTGCACTGTATTGCAGAGAACCCACATGGTAAACTGAACTTTTTGGTTTTAGCACATCGGCAGTGTGTGCCGGGTAGCATTAGCAGTTCTCACTTGTCAGAAGTTCCCCTTAAGTTATTGTATCAAAGTTGATCTGTAGAGTTCACAGGTTTCCTTTTGAACCTGTTGTTAATGCCCAACA